TAAAAGATGATAGGAAACACCAGCAGCAGAGGCGAGCATTCGAATGACACGTTTAAAAATAATTAGATCTTTTTTAAGTAAAGCTGAAAAAATAACTGGAGAACAATAAAGAATTAGTGGAAAAATACAGCCATCTATGAATCGCCAGATTAAAGACTGGGGTGTGTGATATGAACGTAGACGACGAATGTAATAAACAAGTTTTTTTAATTTTTGTTAAAAGGGTTTCCATATTAAGAGAGAAAGAGAGATTTGAGGACAAAGTAACACCTAGGTACCGAAAGGGGATACCTCATTGGGAAGAATATCCAAAGGTTCAGGAGTGGGAGAGGGTCGCAATCGAAACACACACTGTACTGATTTCTGATTGTTGAGTAGGAGTCCATTATTCGACGACCATGCGGAGACGTGATCTAAACCATCCTTTAAAGACTGTAGGTGAGTCAGGTTTTGAGTGGGTGGCCTACGACCATGTCATCGGCATACTTAACATACAGGCAGTCGTTTGGCGATCTCAAATCATCAGTAGGTAGGGAGAAAAGATGAGGGGATAAGATGGAACCTTGTAGAACTCCACAATTATTTGGAAGAATAGAAGATTTTCTCTTTGCCGACTGGACAAAGTGTGTGCGGAAGGAAAAATAATCTCTAAACCAAGAAACAACCCAGCTCGGAGCGTCACACGCAGCTGCTTTGGTCAGTAGGAGTTGGCGCGGAATAGTATTGAAGGCGGATGAGTAGTCGAGAAAAGCACATGCATATGCATGGCATCCCTTGTCTAAGTCTCTCAAAGCTGAATGGACAATTAATGCAACAGCATCCAAGGTGCTACGCTTTGCCTTGTATGCAAATTGTTGAGGATCAGAAAAATTGACGGAGGAGTATTTAAGAGAATCTAATGCAACTCGTTCAGTAAATTTCAGGAGTACAGAAGAGCAGGCAATAGGACGGAAAGATTTAGGAGCAAAAGTTAAAGATTTTTTAGGGATTGGAGTAATTCTTACTGTACGCCAGGCGTCAGGAATCTTGGACTCTATGAAGGATAGATTAATAAGGTGGGTCAATACGGGAGCTATCTGCGAACAGCAAGACTTAAGGAGAAAAGGAGAGACACCGTCCGGCCCAGCCGCCGTTGAACCGCGAACCTTTTTGAGATGTTTTTCCACTGTTGTCACAGTCACAGGAGGAAAGTCGCATGGTGGTAGGTAAGTTTCGTTTGGGCGAGAAGGGGATTCGTTAGAAGTACAGATGAAATTGCGATTTAAAGAGTTTTAATCTACATATACGCTAGCCAGGCTACGTCCGAGACGAATCCCGCCCAAAAGGGTAAAAAATAGGAGGCCGGCAGAGAGGGGTTTCATTCTCTCCAAAATCATTGCACGCCGTTTCTCCTAGCAGTACACAGCCGTATAACGTGCGTGTCTGCGCGTTTTGAAATGGCAGCTTAGTGTAGTTGAGATGTGCTCACGCAAGTGAACGCAGGATTGGTCTGTTTATCGATTAATTGTCACTTGATGCCGGCGACGCCGAAGAGGTGGCGAGGTGATCGCCCGAAATGGTAATCAGTGGTTTGCCGCGGGCTGGATAGCCAGAGACGAAGTGCCAGCCAATGGGAAGTGGGTAATGAAGTTTTAATTGAAGACGAAGACAGGCTCTCCGGAAGAGGTTTATTTAAGTGCTGACGTTTCAAAGAGCTGGGTCGCCTCTTCATTGTCAAAGCGTAAAATGCACTTAATCGATCAGAAATTTAATTTGAAGTGGCAGTCGTGTTGGCCGGCCTCATGCTGATCGATTTTTCCCTCCTCTTGCTGCCTCGGCCTCTCGGGAGATGGTTGACGGGCGTTTTGCCTGTGTGCTTTGTGAGTCACCACTCCGTCGAGGGGAACTGATTGGACTTTAGTCGGGCGGTTGGTCTGGCGGTTCTCCTTCTTCCTCACCGAGTAGACTCAGCGTCGGGCTATCTCCGTGCGGCCTTCTTAAGTTCGGTGTGGTTGTTTGGTCCTGAGCTTTACGATTGTGATGACGTAGGACTTTGTAAGCTGCAGGAAGGTCCAGATGCCTGTTGATAGAGTGGGCATCGGAGAACCACGCCTCGAGAGTTAGCCGTTCTGTTTTTGTGTTGCCTCGGCCTAAGATGGTAGCCCTCTGGAGGTCAAAAGTATGCCCCGTTTCTCCAAAGTGTTTTGCTAGTTGAGAGTTAGGGTCTAACCTCCGAGTGGCGGAAGTTGCAAACTCGCCTACAGGAACACAAAGCGGCAAAACACGTTGGAGACACGGGGCATACTTTTGACCTCCAGAGGGCTACCATCTTAGGCCGAGGCAACACAAAAACAGAACGGCTAACTCTCAGGGCGTGGTTCTCCGAAGTCCGCATCTAAATACCGTGAGTGACCAATCTCGTGAAATGTTGGCCAAAACTCTGAAATGCGTTTTCGATTAGGAAGAATTACTTAGGATGGGTTGTAATAGTGATTATCACGCGGCATATTTCTGCAGTTTTGCGGACTCGGCAGGATGTCGGCTTTTTAATGCACTTTTTTCAATCTCCCGTAGAAACCGTACGCGGTAAAAAATGACTACCTAAGTATCATGCACTTTTCATATTGATTTTCGATGGTCTTATGAATTCTGGTATATTTTATGAAAAACATGAACAAAAATACTCTTTTTTCACTGGTTTCATAGAAAATCGGGTCATCTTCATATTTTATACTCGAAGAAAGAGTATAATTAGGTTTTAGATAAGTTTGCTAATTCCCGAATAATTTGGAGCCTGATCAGCCATTGCATAAGCGTCTAGTGATTTCAATCTACAAGGTGCATGCGTTCTGCGTAAGGAAAATCATTTATTCTTCTAAGCCTTTATATTAAGTCTATAAAATTTTGCAATGGATGCGGACTATGATTTTCATTTCCAGAGGAACAATAATAAACCGGCAGGTTTGATGCTGTATGAATGGACATTGCACGGTCTTGAAAAAATTCCATAACCAGAAACTTTTCTAAAACCTAATTATACTTTTTCGTCGATTATAAATTATGAAGATGACGCGATCTTCTATGAAATCAGTGAAAGAAATAGTATTTTGTCCATGTTTTTCATAAGATATACTAGAATTTATTAGACAATCGGAAATCAATGTGAAGAGTGCATGCTACTTAGGTAGTCACTAAGGCAAACAGCACTTTGTCTGATTTCGCCGATGGAGACGTCATAGAGATAGCAGTTTTCTTAAGGCCTCATGTTGTCAGGTCATTCATTGACTAAAAGATTTAACTAGAATTGGCAGGTGTACTCTCAGACATTCCTTTTTATGTATAAACCACCTAGTATTCCTTAAATCGCCCGCCAAATGCGCGTTTAATTCTTGAGATTTTTGTACAGGTTCTCCTACACTAAGGAAAATACGCACTCAAAAACTGAACTCAGACCATGTGAATGTCTGTCGCGCAGTGCTTTTACTCTACGTCTGCTTCTATTTGTTGCAAGTATTCGCGTTCATACCAAGTCTGGTCGAGAACCCTGGGGAAGATTAATGTTCAGTTTCTCCACAATGCGCTAAGCACTTATACATTAATGATACCAAGTCAATAAGTAAAAGTGAATTTCTCACTGGGAGAGAGGCCCCATAAAACGTTTCCAACACAAACGACATGTTTGCATTCACCACAGCACTTTTTCAAACTCCTCATAGCAGACTTAGCTCAAATCAGACAAAAAGCCAGCATTATTGGCTGAAAGAATCCTTCGTCGAATTTTGGAGGGGAAGTCGTTTATCTACCCATCTTCTCTGTCATATTTTGTCCCTCCGATTTGTGGATAAAATCTCCACACGAATGACAAACCTACCCGAGCGACTTTAAGGCCAAAGTAATTACCATTAACGGAACCCCGCAAAATGCAATAAAACTCGTGCTTTTAATAAAGTAAACCACATACCTGAGGTTTAAAAGGGACGTGCGAAGCATATTACCGGCATTTGTCTAAATATTAAAAAGAGCCAAACGAGGCAGCCGAAATAGAAATCTGAATTTTGCGACTGGTCGAACTCTAGACAGTGACGGTTAAATCGAACAGGCTTTTCTCGATCCATATATTTATGGGAAGAGGCACTTGTTTCTAAGAACATTAAACTAGAAGACAATTGATCCTATAGCATTGCACATGGTTGCACCGCACCGCCATCCATGGACCCACTCATTGGGAAGGGCATGATAGTGTTGAAAGAATTACAGCTGAAACAAAAAGTATTTTCAAGCGAGAGAACAACTGCGACTTGCAAAATGTTGCTTTCCAAACAGCACTGAGGACCACAGAGACAAAATTTGTAAATACATACGTCTAGAAGTCTTTTGGCTTCCTACTTCGTGATCGCACTACACTTGTCAGCAGCAAATACCTCACGAAAACATTGCTACTTATTTCATTTGAGTAGCTTTGACTTCGGTAGTCTCCGTGGCAGTTTGAGTAGTTTGATGGGCCGACCAACGTAAACCAACAGTTGTTGGTGTTTCGTTCCCGATCAAACTTGAGCAAATGACCAAATCTAGGGTTACGTTTGACAGCAGTTTCAAATTTAGGGTTAGACAAAAGATTACAGACATGGAAATCGCATGATTTGTATATAGGGGTAGAACAAAGCTTGTGTGTCGCATACCATCTTCAACAATCAAGCATTCTTAGCCTTGGGTTACAGGATTTCCGCGCGTTGACGCGTCCCAATTCGCACCGTTCGAATTGCGCCATCCGTCTCGTCAACCCATTGAAGTAATAGAACAAGTATATGACCGAAATGCGAGTTTTCCCAGAGTGCGCTTACGGAAACGCAGTCCCCTCTTACCGCCTGTCCTAAACTCCAATCGACTTATTTGACGCACACACTAATAGTGCTCCTTGAAAAGCAGCAAACAGGCCTTGGCGCAAAATGCATATTTATTACTACAATGGTCATTTAAACAGAAAAGGCGTGATTGTCAGTTCGTTCAGCTTGAAGAATCTGTTACATTTCTTCCTCCCAATTTGTTCGTCGGATGCGTCCAGATTTGGAGGCCGCTCTCTCCTTAGCCATGTACACTGCAAATGGAAAGATAACATGCAAAGATAGTGGCTTTATTCAACACAAGCAAATTCATGTAGGGAGTTGAATTGCACACACCAATGCTTTTATTAAACCCCGTTATGTCAAGATCGGAATAAAGCGTGCAAAGTGAGGCGTAGACACACAAACGTACTCTCATATTTTGTCGGAAGTCGTACGCAGCGACTCCCATCGCAGACATACTTCTGTCCATTGAGAATGGGGAAGGTGAGACCCGGTATCTGACGGAGACGAGGATCATCATATTGTGCTCTAGCCATGACTTGTCTCAGAGGCGTGCTTTCAGTGAATACCCACCTCGTCAGATGGATTCCAATTTATAGGGGGATTGTTGTTGTCGTCTCCACACCGCCGCCCGCGCCCTCACCGCACTGCACTGAGGAGAGCTGCGTACTTTGGTCACGTGTTGAGGTAAGGGCGTGAACCTGTTTAGCGCACCATTCAGACCGTAGCATGCCTGGGAATGCGGAGTCGGATGGTGGCTTGTTTTGCAGTGAAAGTCGGTGTGGGCCGTGTGAAAATGACTTGGCTTCTTATGCATTTACCCGTCTCATAGGATAACCTATGTTGGTGAATCGGGGAGGGGTATGTGTAATGCACCTACCTCGTTGCAAATATCAGAGCACTTAAACTGATCTCTTGTTTAGACGGCATGTTGTTAAAGGCAGGGGTGATTCTGCATACCTCAATTTCTAATGAGGCGCGTAGAGTGGGAGAGTTTGATTTTAAAGTTCATCTGAAATTTCTCAACTGAACCACTGGCATCACCCCATTGTTTTGTGGTCAAAATCCTGGTCATTTGTATGTGGACAAGGGGGTGCGGTGGGGGGCGCCAAGGTGAGAGCTCGCACTCGATCGACCGACCTGCAGGAGGACAGTGAAGACAGGCGCTGCGATCTACGAAGCCAATCGCATCGCTGCCGCCAAGGCGAAACGCGAAGCCCGCAAATCACAACTTCGCCCAGTACGCAACGCCGCCGCACAACCGCTTCCAACGCGTTCTCGATATCAACGGACATTCCGGGCTCGAATCGGACTTGTCGGACATCCTCGGATCAACTGCACCTCTAGAACTGCACCAAACATCGTCCCCCCGACCGCCTCTTCGTCCCCTCCGCCGCCAACTAACTCTGACAATTTTTCTGAACCACCACTTCCATCCTCCTCCTCCTCCTCCACTGCTCCAACAACGGCCGCTCAGGCGACTGTCACACGCGCAACAGCAGACACCATCACCACCTCCCCCCACTCCAGCGATGAGGATCAGGACTACACCTGCCCTCACTGCGACCGAACCTTCACCTCCCACATCGGCCTGGTCAGTCACTTGCGAATCCATCGCACAGAGACTGGCGAACCAGTGCCTGGAGCACCAACCTACACCCACCGCACTCGCCTCCGCTGCCAACACTGCCCGCGCACCTTTACGCATCGCATGGGCCTATTCGGCCACATGCGCATCCACGACGACCTGCGGTAGACAACCGCCGGTCACACCACACATTCACTCACTCCCTACCTCCCACCACCACCATCACCCCACCAGACATCAACCCTCACACACCACATGCACACAACTGCCACCTCCCACTCAAGTGGGAAGTGTGCATCTCGACTGGGTCCCCATGCAGCTTCGGCTGCAGGGGTGACTTGAGTCCGAGACTATCCCGACACGTCAAGCGTCGTGGATAGGAAGGCTGTTGACTGACGCCCGCACTCGGTCCACGCAGTTCGTCGCGTTGTGCGTGTGTTTGTGTGTTGTGTGTAGTGGCGGACTGGTGGGCTGGGGACGGGCTGAAGTAGCACCTTCCACGGCACTCTCACGCAAGTGAGAGGCACGCCATTCAAACCCCGTTGTGTGAAATCCTAGTGTCTGTGTGTATGAGGGACCAGGTCGTGTCGTGGTGCGCGCGGTCACGGTAAGTAGACCATGACAGCCACCGCGCCCATTTCCCACTCCAGTCTGCTGACCGGCTCGGACAGCGGCTGGCGTGTGGGAGTGGGAAGGGAGAGTGAGGTCGACGTCTCAGCGCACTTCCTCCTCCCTATAAACAATCTGACGCGCTTGAAGCTATCACGGTGCGCTAAAAGCCGTGGCTTGGAAGGTTGCCAACTGACGGGGTACCTTGGACCTCCTTCACTGGAGGCGGTCTGAGAGTCAGGCTGCAATGGCTCCTTTTTAATGTGGCCTTTATGGCACTCCTACCACAGTGTGGGATCCGAGCCAGGCGTTGGCGGCACGCCTAGGTGCGGCTTCGGCCGTGCCAGCCTCCAAATCTCTGTTGTGTTGGTTGAAATCCTGGTTATTTGTTGTGTGGACCAGGGGGTGTGGTGGAACGCCAAGGTGAGGATCCGTCCCAGCCATCCACCTGCGGCCTCCCCAGTCTCCGGTCTTCTTGACTGTGTCTTGACACAGGCGGCGTAGAGGTCCTCAGCAACTTTACGTGCCAAGCTAGTATGCTTTACGGACGGAGTTAACTATGTGGAGAAGAAGACTCAATCGCTGAAACAACTGGTGTATTCGCCTGACCCTTCCGATAACGTAGACATCTACCCAGGGAGGAATGGCCGCGAGTTCCTAGAAGTAATGCGGTCACGCGAGACATGCATCACTATACATACCGATTTCGATATCTGTCAGCTGAGAAGGACGATGTCCATTCTGACCGGTTGGGCATAAACAGCAGACACGTATTGATACGAACTTAAATCAGCCGCGTAGTCTCTTGTTAGGCTTGTTTAGAGTTACCTATTGTTCACTGCCATTATCTTTCACGATGTGCTAGACAGAGACTCTCTGGGTGTTGTTTACGTTCTCATACTGACAGTTTATTTCAAATTACGAGGTTGAAGTTGTACTTGCGTGCGGGCGAACCTATCTCATTTATTTTAACTTTACAAATAACCCGAAGTTGTGGGTACATCACGTGGACGATACATTTGTTGTGGTGAAATAAGGTCAATCATATATACTCTACAATAGCCTTAATACCACTTCCCCAGAAATTCAATTCACTCCCGAAACGGAAGCCAACTCCCATTCCTGGAAGTTCTCGTACACCAAAGAACTGATGGACCGTTGCAAACTTCAGTTTAGTATGAAGACGTAGTCTAGGCATCATGGCAGTAATCACCCCATCTCCCAAAAACATGGCCTTAGTTATAGCCTACAAAATCAGGCTCTGACAAAAGGTCCTATGGAACAGAAATAAAATAACCTTTCAAATCATTTCGCAATACGGATTTCCCCATGACTTTAGGAGGCCATATATTCTAAGTCAGCCGTGCCGGAAAAAATACCATTTCGCCGATACGACGACAGATGTTAGGATTTGCCCTACAGAAGTCAAGGAATAAAATGACCAAACAGTTTTAACAGTAGGTAGCGTACACAAATGCCCTTCCTGGATCATGCAAAATTGATTACAGTTGATCGCAAGTTACAGATAGTACGGGGGGGTGGAACGTTTTGTCAGACATGCAGACAAACGGTGTTTAAAAAGTATCCCACTCAAGTACCGCCTCTCGGTTTCATATTTCCTTGTGAGTTCGAAACGAAGGTTGTAGATGAGAGTAGGGACTGCACTTGCGTAGTCCTAACATGCACAGACAGTATATGCATGTTAGACCCAAAACATGAATCAACACAGCGAGTTCACTTCACCAACTGCTAGAACCTAAAGGACGACCATCTCCGTACACTTGGCTTGGACATCCTCACAATTTGACTGACCGATCCCAAGTAAACCGTAAATGTTTGGAATGGGGAGGGGAGGCGGAGACGGAGGTGTGATGCACCTACCTCGTTACATCTATGAGAACCTTTAAACGGATCCCTTGTTTAGACGACATGTTGTTGAAGGCAGGGCTGATTTTGCAGACCCAAGTTCTAATGAGGCGCATAGAGTGAGAGTGTTTGATTTTAAGGTCCATCTGAAATTCCTCAATGCATTATGGTTGCTACACTCCATTGTGGAAGTATTTACCACGTATGAAGTAGATTGGGGAAGAATGGAATGGATGGCTCGTTCCATCGGATTCAATTTGTATGCCACATACAGTCTTACTCGATCAGGACTTCCTTAACTGACCACTTCGGATGACCCGTTTTTCGCCCGCTGACACGAACCCAATTTACGCCTTTCGAATTGCGCGATCTGTTCCGTCACCTCGTTGGAGTAATAAAACAAATGTATGACAGAACTGCCAGTTTTCTCAACACCTTCCGCAGATTCCGTTAATATCCGCGTCCGTCTGCCTAAATCATACAACTAATATTAACATCCTTCCCGTATGGCAGATGTCCCTGCACCCTATTTTCTCAGGAAACTTACATATTTACTCCTTGCCAAGACAAGGACTGAAGCTCAAATCGCGCGACTTCCCAGCTGTATTTGCTTTATTACTTGACGTAACACCATCACCGTCGCAGACGACAATGGCACCGTGTACCCCAAGCAGAAGCGGTGATTTGCACATGAATTTACTTCTCAGGGTAGACGGCTTGCGCAGCGTCTACCGCACTCCCTCCTCCCTCACTCACCGAGCCTGTTCACAGGCAGAACGCAGGTGGGCTCAGACACCCTGACCGACAAAGCTACACAGTTCATCCATGCGTGCCAGTCACACCTGGCCGGCTCGCCTCCCAAATGACGGGGGAGTGCAATAGAAGCCACATTGTGAAGGAGCCATTGCAGACACTGTCTCCGTCTTCAGAGCGGAGGACCGCCAGTTGGCAGCCTTATCTTTTACGACTTTTGGCGCCTCGTGAGAGATTCAAGCGCGCGTCAGATTTATTCTAGTGAGGAAGGTGGTGAAGGGCCGTGCGGATAGATCTCCCAGAATCGGCCTTTCTCTTCTCTCCCCCAAGTACCAGTCGGTTGGCAGAGACCATCAACCAACTGAAGCTGAGTGTGGATGCAGTGGCTGACAGAACTGACGCAATTCGTCTAGGTCTGCCACACGCGACCTTATCCCCCTCTCCCTCCGCAACTCACCATGTTCTCACAACAAGAATGGGGACGGTTCGAATCTCGCGTGCGTGAGTATGCCGCATTGATAATTAACCAAGGAAGTCGTTTCCCACTTACGAGAAAGGTGCCTGTCCTGTGCCTCTGGTGGACGATGTGAGAGGGGTTTGTGTGTGTGATGTATGGACCGATGGGTAGATGTGTGGTGACGCGTTTTCGTGTGAGCTGTATAAGCGCGTGTCTTCATGGAGTCCCATGCGATGGCTGAATGTGCGTGGGTAGTGCGGGCAGTTGGGTGGGGGTGGGAGGGTTGTGGCGGTTAAACGTGTGGTTTCCAGTCGCTGGTCACTCATCAGTCGATTACAATAACGACGAATTCAGAGGGCCAACCAGAGCTCAAAGTGTGCTTACGGACACGCAGTTCCCTCTTACTTCCTGCCCTAAAATTCGATCGACTTATTTGACACGCACACTAATAGTGCTCCTTGAAAAGCAGCAGACAGGTCTTGGCACAAAATGCATATTTATTCCAACAATGGTAATGTAAACAGAAATGGCGTGATTGTCAGACGGGTCAGCACGAGGAATCTGTTACACTTCCTCCTCCCAATTTGTTCGTCGGATGCGTCCAGACTTGGAGGCCGCTCTTTCCTTGGCCATGTACACTGCAAATGGAAAGAAAACATGCGCAGGTAGTTTATTTTGTCAACACAAGCAAATTCATGCAGGGAGCTAATTTACCCACCCCTACCACTGCTTCTATCAATCCTCACGATATCAAAGCAGAATAAAGTATGCAAAGTGTGGCGTAGACACACAAACGTACTCTCATATTTTGTCGGAAGTCGTACGCAGCGGCTCCCATCGCAGACATATTTCTGTCCATTAAGAATGGGGAAGGTGAGACCCGGTATCTGTCGGAGACGAGGATCATCATATTGTCCTCTAGCCATGACTTGTCTGAGAGGTGCGGTTTCGGTGGATACTCTCCTTGTCAGAGGCAATCCAATTTATAGGAGGATTATTGTTTTCGTCACCACCGCCACCGCCGCCGTCGCCGCCACCGCACCGCACGGAGGAGGGCTCCGTTCTTTCGTCACGTGTTGAGTTAAGGGCGTGAACCTGTTTAGCGCACCATTCAGACTGCAGCATGCCTGGGAATGCGGAGTCGGATAGTGTTTTGTTTGTTGAAGGCAGCGCTGATTTTGCAGGCAGAAGTTCTAATGAGGCGCATAGAGTGGGAGTGTTTGATTTTAAAGTCCATCTGAAATTCCTCAATGTATTATGGTTGCGACACTGCATGGCGGAATTATTTGCCACGGATGAAGTAGATTAGGGAAGAATGGAATGTGAATTTAAGTGTCATGGGATGGCTCGTTCCAACGGATTCAGTTTGTATGCCGCATACGGACTCACTCGATCAGGACTTCCTTAATCTGTAGCCTTGGTTTGCCTGTTTCCCGCCCTCCGACACTTCCCTAATTCACGCCGTTCGAAATTCGCCATCCGT